AAATAAATAAATATGGGTCTGAGGAGGGTAAGACCAACATTTATTTCAGAGAGTTTGGGCCTGACTCATTCTCCTCTCTCTTGCAGGAAGGAATCCCTCCCTCCTGCTAGTGATACCGGACAAGGTTCTGTTTGCAGCCTGCTATTAGCAGAGCTGCCTGAAGAAATACCGAGGGGTCTAAAAAAGGATTTCCGCACCCCATTGTCGGAACCAGAAGAGCTCCCCCCCTATCTATACCACTGCCGGTAGCTACACACTCAAAAAAACCCACGAAGCCTTGGGGGCCAATTTGGATGCAGAGTTCTTCTAAAAATCTGGCCATAAGTTCCCATTGGCATTACTGGGCACAGAGCACGGTTGAAAACCTGGCCCTTACTTAGGTGCCTAAATGGGAGCTGGGCTCTGGAGCGTCTGGCCCCGCCTGTGTATCCTGAGCACTTGGAAACCTGGCCCTAGGCTCGTTTGAAAATTCAACCCAATGCCAAATGCAGGGCCACCAAGCTTGTTCAAGCAACCGAGGCCATGAGCCATCCCCACCACCTGGGCAGATCCACACTGGGCTTCACGGGACAATGGCAGTGAAACTGGCTGCCAGGAAGTTGGGCTGCCGGTTCGTGGAACTAGGGTTGCCAGGTGTCCGGTTTCCTCCAGGACAGTTGGTATTTTGGCTTTCCGTCTGGTTTAAAAAAAAAAAAAAAAAAACCTGTTTTCCTCAGACAGATGGCTGGTGGCATCTGCGAAGGTGGGGTGGGGTGGGAAGCGAGGAGCGCGCTAATTTAAAGGCGCAGTGACCTTTTTTTAAGCAAGGAGCATGCTAATTTAAAGGCGCAGTGACCTTTTTTTTTTGTTTTGTACACCCAATTTTTCCCTGCCTGTTCGGGATTTTTTGTGAAGGTATCTGGCAACCCTACCTGGAACCCTGCTGCAGAAATGCCAGACTCCATGCTGGCTCCTTGTGCTCGGAAGAGAGAGTGAGTAAAAGAAACTGCCTCTTGCCAGCTTCTTTTTCAGGGGTGATGAGGGTGCGGGCTCTGCTGTTCACAAGGAATGCAGGATAGCAGGGTAACAGGCCTGTGGCTCTGCCTGGAGGCAGGGGCACACCAGTGTGTGGTGCTCGGTGATGAAGGGAATGGTAAGGGAGGCTACTTTGGCTCACCCCGGTCCAGGGCATCGGTAATTTGTTTAGCAATGACATTTCCTTTCCCCTCAGCTATAAAGGGTGCACTTACAGGACAATGCAAGGAGAACCAACCCAAGCACCACCAATAAGGAGAAAAGCTCTTCCTGCAATGAGGAAGCAGTGATCTCAGATTGAAACTGTGATGCATTTTTTTTCAAAGCCACCTTTCAATCTGTGTCCCCGTCGCATTCAGAGAGTCGGGCATGACCTGTCATGTGAGCACATACATTCATTCAACAGTCACACGTTTTTCATAGTTTCCAGTGTCACAGGCTTTGAGGTCCTACCTTGATCACCTCTGGGGCCTGCTGAATCAATGTGGGGACAGTGTCTTTGGTTGTGGCACTTGTACCAGTTCTCTGTACAGCTGGGAAGGACTGAGAGGGAGTGGTCAAGGTTTCCTGAAGAATTTGCATCATTTCCTTCTCTTTGGATAAACTTCCTTTGCCCATTTGGCTTTCCACCAATTCCTGGGCAAAATCCTCAATACTTTCCAGGATACGCATTAGAAGGGCTTTGTCGTCTTCCTCCATTTTGTGGCCATTGGTTTCCAAGGTCTTTGATAAAGGGGAAGGAGAGGTCTTGTCAGGGAATAAACAGACTTTATTTTTGGTTTCAGGTGTTAGAGGTTGGACCTTCCCACCTTGTTGGCCAAGGCTCTTCAAACACGCAGGATCATTCTGCTTTGTGGTGGGCTCCTTCAGTGTGCTCTCCATTTTCTGTGAAAAGTGCTCCAACTCCAACAGCAGCTTATCTATCTCATCCTGGTTGGTTTTCCTTGATTTGCTTTGTTCTCCTGAAGAAGCGTTATCCCTGGAATCACTCTTAAGAGAATCAACCACTTGTGTAGAACCAGTGTCCTTCTCAGAGGCCTGGGCGAGAGCTTCCGTGTTCACTCTGGCCTCTTTATGGACTACAGTAAAATCTGAACTTCCAATTTTCTGCTGGCTGGTCTCTAAACTCTCCCAGCTACCTTTGCTTTCTGTCCTCTTTTCCTTCCCTAGTGCTACCTCCCCATCTGACTCCTCTTCAATGTAGAGTGTTTCTGTGGAAGACACGCAGTTGGAAGGGCTTGCTGCTAGTAATGGAGATACAGTACAAACATTTTTCACAGTTTGAGAGTTGTTCTGCTGTGTGGCATTGTGGAAGGAGTCTGAGGTAAAGCCCCCGGCGTTGGTTTGGACAGGTTTTGGGGTGCCAGATGTGCCAATCTCATGCTGGCCCTCTTGCAGTTCTACAGCAGGAGAGGGTCTTGTCATGGTGGGTGGCAAATGCACAATATCCTCGTATCGAGGAGGTTGCTCATTGCCGAATATTGGGGAAAAGGGAGCCTGCTGCAACCCATGCAAACTGGTCACCAGTTCTGCCAGCTCACTGAGTTCCAAGTGACTGGGCTGCTTTAGATCAACGGGGAGCTTTTTCAGGTAGGAAGAAAATCTAGTCATCAAATTCTTATATATCATCTCAGAGCTGGGCAAGGGGTCATTATCATTGGCCCCACTGGTCTCGCCTGTCGATTTCTTTTTGATGCAGTGCTTGATGATATCGGTACATTTTTTCAGGTCCTCGGAGCATTTGAGCAGAATGTCCAGACACACTTTGATATCTCCACCAGAAGAGCTGTCCAGCTTGTGCTTTTCCAAAATCTGGGTGATAAAGCTCTCTTCAGAGAAGGGCTGGGTGGAGAGGGAAGCGGCAGCACTCACGTTTCCCTCTGGGGAACTGCAGCTCGCCTGCCATTTCTCCCCAGCGGAGGGAGTCTGCGGCAAGCCAAAGGGAGGACAATTCTCCTCATTGCTAAAGTGTCCATAAATCAGATCAAAATCAAATGACCGTCTGCTGAATGTTTCTGATCTCACTTTCCTTCCCTTTCGGTAGGTCACATGGCTGGAAGAGCTTCTGAGCCTTTCAAAGGAGAATTCCTTTATTTTACCACTGGCCAGGTTTATCGCTTCCCCAGTGATGTCCTTGAGACTGCAGCTGGCTTGCAAAGACAACCCCTTTTTGAGCCGGGGATTGCTTGGGAGGATCTGCTGATAGTCTTCATTCCCAGGCAAAGACAGCCTGTGCTCAGGAGCTGGAAGTCTCTGGTCGAGATCTGCCCCTTTGGCATTGGACGCAGGGACGTGAAGTAGCTCTGCACAGATTCCGCGGTGGGCCACGATGCACGCCACTCCTCGCCTGAACACCTGGCAGGTCCCGGCGCAGTAGTGCACCGTGTGCCGAAAGTGACAGTCTATCACCACGCTGCTGTAACAGTTCACAGACGTGACGACAAGCCTATAGGCCGCTGCCATAGCATGAACTCCCCTGGGGACGGAGGCTCTGAAATTCACCACAAACTCCGAAGGGCCAACCGCCCCTTCAGACCCAGGCTGGGGTTAACGGAAACATTCCCATTTCAGCCTCATCCCACTGGTTAAGAAAATAACTGGAGGGAAAATTCTGGGCTGTAAAGTCTATAATCCTGGCGAGGCCCGGGTCGATGTCTGCAGTAACGTTGCAACAGCCCCAGCAGCACCGATAAAGTTTGATTCGGGCTGATCTGATTACATAATATTGCTCAAAACTGTACTCCACGTGGAGATTACTCGTCTGACCACTGCATCCATCGCTTCCTTTCTTATAGTCCAGGGTGGTTCAGTAAGGGACATTTTAGAACACACACCAGATCCCAGGCTAAAAAATGACAATGTTATTTTTTCCCCTTATATTTCTTCTCCTTCTTCAGGCCTGGGATGTTAGGGAGGGAGGCTTTGTGCTGAGAAAGGCAGGCACTAATCGCCTGTAACTAAACTCCTGTCGTTAAGAAGGGAGACACCTGCAATAAAAAAAACAAACCAAGAGTCAATATCATTACTAGTGAGAATACGCAACCTGAACTAATACAGTACCAAACATAAGACACGAGATCTAATTCCCAGCACGATGTTGTATTGGGAAATGGCACGATGAGAATCAGTGGGCCAAACATAATGCAGTTGAAGGCTGCCTTTGTATTTCCATTCTAAAGACTCTTTTCTTAGCTCTGTCTCATATTCCACAATGTATTTCTTTAGGGCTTCTCAAGGAGACTTTTTTCCCTCTTAAATGGAGCAAAAATATTTTGACCATTTTGGGGAATGAGGACAGAGATAGGGAGAGAAGATCAAACCCAGACTGCACACTGTGATCGCATAATTAAAGTCACACATGTAATGAAGACCAACACAGGGGCTGCAATAACATGGCTGTTTGATGCCTGAGCTCGGAGGCAAAGACATTTGCCTCCTTTGACCCCCCTAAACATGCTAAACTCTCCTTCCCACCCTCAATATAGAGCTGCAGAGAATGGATCCTTCAAAAATATCGGGAAAGATCCCTTACGAAGAAGAGAGTTTGTGGCTCACAACCTGAAGCACCCTCTCAGGCCCTACACAAATACACACAACAGCCGAACTAGGCAGAAATACCAAGGCTGGTAAAAGAAATCGCCACCAAACCAGACACTAGAGTTGACCGCTGAGTTTAAGGTCATAACAGCTGCTCTGAGAACCCAATCTCACATACAATATGATGGGGGCTTATTTAGCTACAACTAATCAGGAAAGAGATCTTGGAGTCATCGTGGATAGTTCTCTGAAGATGTCCCCTCAGTGTGTAGTGGCAGTCAAAAAAGCAAACAGGATGTTAGGAATCATTAAGAAAGGGATAGCGAATGAGACGGAGAATATCTTATTACCCTTTTATAAATCCATGGTACGCCCATATCTGGAATACTGCAGGCAGCAAGTTTTAAACAAACAAAAGGACGTCCATATTTGACACAAGAAAAGAGCCTGAATAGACAAGTTACCACAACACAGGGTGCGATTCAGACCAGGACCAGCTGTTTTAGTTTATTTGTACAATAAAAGAGAGCTTCTTTACACTATAGCTTCAGGGGTACCTTGCATCAGCCAGTCAAGTTAAAATATGTATCTAGATTGAATGTGCTGGAAGAGGAAATTGTATGCATAGATGACGAACACATCCAGTCATTAAAGAATCCCGGGGGTGCCAAATATCACAAAATATTGGAGTAACTAGAAGATTTATCTGGTGGTGTTTGGGTCCTTCAGGGCAGGGGGCTGGAGGGTGCAGGAGTCAGGGCAGGGGGTTGGGAGGTGGGGGGTGCAGGAGTTAGGGATTTGGAAGGTTAACTGGTAGGAATTATTCTTAATGGGTGATGCTTACCGGTTCCAGTTAACCAGTGGGGGTTGGAGCAGCTCCTTTCCGACCACAGGCAAGGGACTGCTCCAGCCCTCTGGGGCCCACCGTGGACAGGGGCACTCCAGCCCCCCTTTAAATGGGATTTTACAACCCCAGCAACAGTCAGGGCAGGGGTGGGGTGGGGGAGTTTCTCTGGGGCCAGCCAAGGTAGCAGGGATCCCCAGGCCTAGCATGCTTGCTGTTCCCCTGTGGTCATTTTGTAGTATAACTGTCCCTGCTATCGGAGCCCTTCTTTCCATTTGATGAGAAACAGTTGGATTCTAGGCACGTCCTATTGTCTCGACACAATGACTCTGCTTTACGTTAGGATAAGAGGAAGACGCAACCAAATTTGGCAGTCCTAGCTCTTACTGTTTAGGAGGCATTCTTGAACAAACGGACTCTCAGACAAACAGATACATACACATACATACACACACACACACAAATACATAGTAGATTGTTACCAAATGATCCTTTGGTAATAGCCTTAGGGCTTCCTAGTGGAAAAGGTCACTCAATAGGAAATGTAACATTCATCTCTTGCCTGCTGGTAGCTGCAAGGCTACCAATAGCCTCCTGCTGGGAAAAGAAAAACCATCCAACTGCAGAAGGATGGTTCAAAAATATGAAAAGTGGTGGCTATGGAAAAATGATAGCTCCAGTTATGTACCCGACAAACAGAGGACAAGGAGATATTTAGATATTAATACCATTCATTCAATACTCAGGCAAAGCACATTAACCCCCTCCAACCACCCTCAAATCCAGCTTATCTGTCAAATTATTGTGAGTTTTAGCATTTGATAGGCATGCCGGTTTGTGAAATATGTGCAATTAGAAAGTTAACTCTCCTTGCAATGAAATTACTAGGAAGAACACTGTGGCTTGCCATGTACGTATTTAAGGAGAGTTCGGACAAGCAGCTGTCTGGGATGGTCTATGTGCTTCCAGCTCTACACACCTACCAACGCATGGTTGGGATGCTCTCCACATTCGTTCTCAGGACTGCATACCACATCGCAACGATCACACTCTTGAAAGCCACGTCCCCAGGCCACCCTCCTTCTAATGTCGGTGTCTGCAACGTGCAGGCACCTGCTGGCTGAACATTCCATCCTGCCTCTGCTGGCTGCCAGGCACAGCTGGGCCGGGCTGCAAAGGAACCTGCCGCTGCTCCCCTATTCTGGTGCCAGTTTTAGCCCATCCTGGGCTGCGAGAATCTACACCGGCTGGCTGTAGCCCCCAAGCACCCAGGGGCTGGGAGGGGCACTCAGGGGGGTGAGTGCCATCAGTCACAGCGATGACTCAATAGGCCCTGGGATAAAGAGACGTCATTTTTTAAACCTTGGGGGGCTTACCACACAAAACACTCTGAATTACATAGACTCCAATTCGGCAAAGCTCTGAATGCTAAGTGTGGGACCTGGTGTCCCTGATGTGTTTGCTGAAGTGCTTTGCTGAAGCTGGGCCACCGCGCGCGAAGTCTCCAAAGTCAGCTTTTTAATGCAGCGGCGAGGTTTTTTCCAAGCCGAAAAGTGCACACTTGTATGTCTTTAAAAGCATCTTTGGTCCTTGGGCTTGCACGTCCTTTCCAGCACTGACAGAGGTGGACTGCCTAGGCTCAATAAAGCCCCTAATTCTTTCCATTCCCAGCAGGTGCTACAAAAAGGACGTTAGCAGTCAGTTCTCCTCTCCCTTGGTGGGGCAGGCCCCAGGCTCCTCCCTAGGCTCCCTACGCAATGAATGGGGGGAGACAGGAGCCTACGGGGGCT